TTTATGAATGCAGTGGCTACCATATTGTCTAGCACTGAGCACATTTCTTATTCTCCAAAGTTCTATTGGAGAGTACTATTCTAAGGCAACATGTGTCAAGCAGAGGATACTCTGTTAACATCTACTGTCACTGGAAATAAATAAATCCTATGTTTCAATTCTAAATCAACAACATCCTCCTCACAAACTTGTGTTGCAACCCTGAAGGAGAGACAATCTAGAGAATAGTAATACACTACAGTGCAATACGAGATAGTCATTTCAGATGAATATCACAGGATTCTGTGCTCTTCCACCCAAAGGAGAATATATTTAATGATATTACTATACATTTACTTGTTTATATTATTATAGCATGTATGGACCTGATTTGTAGAAAACAATCATATTTGTTCCGGTGCAGAGACTTATAGATAACCGGATGGTTTACAGCTAAAATAAGGAAACATCACACAAATCTGTCCAGATTTAACACCAGCTGCTTTGCATGGTAATGAATTCACTCATATTAGTATTAAAACTGAGACTTGAAAGACACATATTGCCTACATTACCAAAACAATTTTGATTCCAGACTATGGACAAAGATTTGGTTATTGAAAAACTTTCAGAGGTTTTTTTCAGAAAAATTCCTTAGAGAAAACACTATTTTTATTCTAAACCCAGAGGTTATACAAGAGTTTTATAACATCAGCTCTAAAGAACCAACAGTATGATCCAGCTGTTTCTAGCATCCATTGAACAACTAAATCTCAGTGTTGACCAGTGATATTCATGAAGATGCTCAAGCAAAGTTCAAATACTTTCCCTACTGCTTAAAAGGAACCAGGACAACATGAGTTTCATTTTCTTCTCTGTAAGGCATGGGAGGGTGGATTAAAGGAGAGAGCAACACTAATGATCCTGGACACGTCAAGTAATGTTGTAAAGTTAGGTATAACTGCCTGTCTACCAAAACACCAGTACCACTGAGTTGTAGGTATATGTGGTATAATTTAAAGTCAGAATAGCTTTGCTTTGAGTAAATGAGGACAAAGTGTTTGAGAGAAGAAGAAAAAGACTGACAGGAGAAAAACTGACATACTGTTGATGCTGGATATGGCATGCAAAAGTAAACACTAATAGAATAACTACTATGTGGCAATTCCTAGTCATTAAAAGAGAAATGTTCCCAGTAAGAACACCTGTTGATGTGATCAAGAGAGACCTGTGTCTGTGTGGCTAACAAACAGAGAAAATAGAGACACAAACTGAATAAATAGGGTTTCCAACAAAATTATAGACAAATCCAGACAAAAGAGATTGGTTCTAAAACATGTTCTTGGGAAGATTTCTTAGGAGGGTTATCTGAGCCAGATGCTAAAATGTAATTAAGGTCTGTGGAATGGTGAAATGTATAGTCATTATCTTTCATTGGAAAGATAACAATAAAAAGCAATAGAGAGTTGTTCTAAAAATCCAGTGGGATACCCCTTCATATTCCTATGGTTTTGTTCATATGATTACCAGGAGTACACTAACTTATTTGTTAAAGTTTGCATTTTAGGTCAGAGGACATAAGAGGAGAGGATGTAAGAGTCTGTCTTCATGGTGTGTGCTAATGACTTCCTCTAAGGGTCCAGTATGAGAAAGCACATGCAAATCGAAAAAATTTCCTCACACATTTCAGGGCCATGGGGGATGACGGGGGAGGGGGGGGAGACACTTTCAGAGAAACAGGACTTATTGATCAATAGCACTAAGAACGCACTAAGAAAGAGATGTCCTACTTGAACTGAACAAGAGAACATTTTTATAGTCCCCACCTATGCTGCTATAGATATATTCCCTGCAGCCTGAGCCAGGCTGTCTCAACTCAGCAGGGGGGCCCCAGAGCTTATTTGGAATAGCTGAGCTGTTTCTCCTTGGCTGAAATGGAGTCACAGCTCCCCCTTCTGGGTGCTAAAGTGCCATCTAGCTCCAGAAAGACAATGGTTGTGAGGTTTTTAATGGCTTTATTGCAAAAGGACCTAAAATCCTCATGTTTCTCAGTACTTCGCTGTACCCCAAAAAAGAACATCTAAAACATGGGCAACATACTTTTTTCAGTGAATATTATTTCAACTTCTAAAGAAATTGTGACTCAAAGGACTTTATTTTTCCTTTTCCTGAGGTTGTGAGTCCATGTCCACATATGAGTCATTCGTTTACACAACCTAGCTCAATTTCCTATGGAGATTAAGAGTCTCATAGGAGGGGACCTAGCAGAAAGGGAGGTTTTCTAGTCCTGTATGTACACACATGTATATGAATGCCTGCATATTCTTGCATATGCTCCTTTGTCTGTACCATGAATGTACAGAAGTGAGATTTTAATTAATGTAAATAAATTCATCTTCCTGAAGTGTTTTCATGGATGGCTCAGTATATAGTTTGCTTTACAGAAAGCAAAGTTTTCTTCATAAAAGGCTTAAGTACGGTCAAAATGCTCTCCTGGGTTCTTCTATGCACCAGTTACAGTCTGGTGTCCCCATGTGCTTGTATTTATCTGAAGACATTGAAAAAAAAATCTACCTTAGCTTTCTCTCCTTCCATACCCATCCCTCTTGTGTATACATGTGTGCATTCGTGTTTAACCCTTTTGTGAAGTAAGTAGAATTCCTGAGACACTAGGCACTAGCTCTCCTAGGTCCATATGAAGAAAGTCAGAAATGCAACTCTGAAACCAGTTACAGAAGGGAAGACAAGCAGTTATCATGGGTTCATGGGTGGGAGTACTGTGGGCAGGTAAGATTTGGAAATGTTGTGAATCCTTGGAGTTCAGGCTGGGAAAAAAAAAAAAAAAAAAAAAAAAAAAAAAACCAACCTGAGCTCTAGTCCTGGGCATGCCACCAATTCACTAGTGAATATGGGGGAATTGTCATCCTCTGAGCCAGAGACCTGCCTATTTGCTCTTTAATAAGCCTTCCAGTTCTGATCATTTATACATCATAAAGAGATAATTATCAACATGAAGGCTCTTCCTCTGTCTATACCCACAACTGTACTGGGAAGCTGTGCTCTAACCTGAGTTAGTAAAGTCTACCCTATTGCCATGGCTTCAGCCTGATATATCAGCCCATAGTCAGAGAGTGGTATGTGTGCAAGTGTTTGCAGGTAGAACAGTCACCCACCAGCTGGGACAGGTTCCTACAAACATACCCGTTTGCTTTTATGTCTCCTCAGAAGCTGTGTGTGTGTGTGTGTGTGTGTGTGTGTGTGTGTGTGTGTGTGTGCATATTAATATTATTAAATTGGTACATTTCTATTTCCTTTCCCTTCCAAGAGCCCTTTCTAGTGAGCCCTTGAACACACTGCATCCCACCACGGAAGCCTCATCTTCTAGCTTCACTGCTTACAAGCAGAATGGCTTCCATTTACCTTGAGAAAGTAACAGCTGCCTAGTCTGGAAGCCATGCTAACAGCAGTAAAACTCAGCATTTTTGCTGAGTAGCGAAAGCCTTTAAGAGGCAGCCAGGAATCAAATCAATGGCTGGCTCCAGAACCACAGCCCAACTGTACCTGGGCAGGGTGGTCAAAGTATTTACTTACACAAGCTCTTAAAAGGGAGAGGAAATAAGGAGACCTTTACCTCAAAGGATCTCCCCGAGAGCCTTCTTAGGGACCCCTGCCCTTGGTAGTATTTTAGAGCTAAGCGTGAACTATGGGGTGCAAATCAGACACCAGTTTAAGTCAACTACCACAACATTCTATCATGGATTCCCCACCCACAATGCCTCACAAATTGTAGATCTCCCTTGGTCCTTCCACACATATAGAGAACCAACACCCACACATGCACACATATCAATCCCTCTCCGTTCTCCCAGTATCTTCCTAACTTCCTGGAGCCATTGAAAACACAGCTTTTAGAAAATATTCTGGGACTTCTAGAGCTTGCCTAAGATGGAGAAAGCGAAAAGAATGCATCCTAGGAAAGTAACCTATCAGTCTCCTAACAAAGCACCCAGAAATGCCCCAAATTTTATTTTCTCTAGGACCCTGTGCGACTGTGGTGGAGAAGCACATCCCTAGAAGATGCTTACTCTTTTCCCCTGAAGAAATTCAGGCAAACTTGCCCAGACCAACCCTCTCAAAGGGGAGGGGGGGATTGGTGCTGTGATTTCAACAGGAAGACAGGGCTATCTCCCTATCCCAGACTTGCTAGGCATGTATTAGATGAGGAGATCCCTGACTTCCTCCTTTCCTTTGCACTCAGTACCCAACAGCTCCAAATTCCCATCAGAATCCTGGAGTCTGCCCAGCTTGGAATTTAAAGGGACAGCATCTCCTTTGCCTCAGGTTTTGGACATGTCTCTTTTCATTTTAAAGAGAGTCCAAGTGTGCAGCACTACCCATCGTTTAGAGGAAAATTTCCTTCAGTGATACCAACACTAGGCTAAATAATGTACCGTCTATATTCCTATCATTTCCCCCAAACAAGTCCAGAGCCCTAAAAGGAAGCCCACAGCCGGCTTCCTGGTGGCTACGTGATCCTGTAGTAAGAACCCCATTCCATCCCCTGTAAGCTGAAGAGACCTAATTAAAAATACACAGACGCTCACACATGCAAACACATACGTACAAGCACACCTACACAAACACACATCAGCTAAAGTAGGTTATAGGGTCTACACACACACACACACACACACACACACACACACACACACACCACGCATCAAACGAAAACGACGCCGCACAGGCAAACACACACTAGCACCACATCAAGTTCCCACCATGGTACATACGTCGGGAGCGCGCGGGGACACACGCCACTTACTAAAACCCGCATTTAACCCTTGTAGTCCAAGCTACAGGGACCACAGTCTCTGAAACAGAAGAGGACTTGGCGGCTAGGGAAGCCGGACGAGGGTGCTGGGAAGGGGGAGGGGAGGCGCCGGCAGGGGCGCCCCGACTGCGGTCCGGGGCGGGTTCCAAGGGCAGGGGGCTGTAGGAAGCTGCGCCCCAGATCGCCTTACCTGGAGTCAGTGTCCGTCTTTGGCGGAGAGCAGCGGTAGGACGCTTTTTATTCGGCTCGGTGGGAACTTGGTAGAGCCCTGCGTCCAGCTCGCATACCGGGGACGGCGCGGGGACTGCAGGCGTGGGGGTACCTGGCTTCTAGCAGCCTGTCTCATACTCAGCCGTAAAGTCCCCTTGGCTGGTCCCGAGGACAGGCATGAATCCCGGCTCCTGAAGGAGGCCACTACTCCCTCTGCCTCCGGCTTTCTGGCTCTCTCGCCCTCTCCTTCGCCTGTGCTCTTCTCCTCCTCCTGCCCCCCCTGCGCCAGATCAGTTCGCAGCCGTGGGGACCCGGAGAGAGGCGGCTGGCGAATGGAGAGGGAAGTCCAAGTACGCCGCGGTCTCCGGGAGGGGAGCAGTGGAGGCCGGGCTAGTCAGGGGGAGGGACTTCGCCGGCGACGGAGCAAAATGAATGGGGGAGCCTCTGCCTGGAGGCGGCAAGGGAGGAGCCTAGTGCCCGAGTGGATTCCTAGGAGTGTTTTGTACATCTTTAGGGGGTGGAGGAAGATGAGGGAGGGGAGATGTGGTGCCTCTTGTAGGGAGGGGCTGCCTTGGTGGGCCTAAGATTAGCTACTGGGGAAGTCGCAGGGGTCTGGGGACAGAGCGGCAAGTCTTTGTATAAGACCACCCAAAGGGACCTAGTGTGGGTAAATCCTGAATCCTGATTCTAGCTGAAAAGGTCTGTAACTGAGTGGTGCGTGAGCGTCTGGGTGTTTCTGATTATGCGGGAGCTTAGCGTGACTGCGTGTACATACCTGAGTGTGGGTTTTGTCTGGGGTGACGCACGTCTGAGTCTCTGTTTCCCTGTGACTATTAGAGATTTTTTTTTTTCAGTGTAAGCAAGAGCCCACTTATCTCCCAGAATTAAGCATGCTCTTTAGTACGTGGGAAGGATATCGAAGTGAGAATCAGAAGAGAACGCAAAGTTCTCTAGGGACCACCAGAAACAGGGAAAATGCCAGGGTAGCAAGTCCAAGACAAGAATACAGATAGCAGTAATACTCTCAATTCAGTGTGCTGTGCAGGTAGAACCTTTCCTTGAAGCAAAACAGATGGCCTTTGCACGGTCTAAATCCCCACAGAGTATGCATACTGTATGTTTTGCTTTTCACTCAAGGCTCAACTCACACCAGAATATCAGATTTCTAGTCCCTTGAAGATTTGGCCGAGAGGGGAAGCTTGAGTGAAACTACCAGAGGGAGAAGCAGGAAGCCGTACGAAAAGTGTTGGACATTGTAAAGACATCCAGATTCAGTAAAACGTGCAAGTGCTGGAAATGAAATGGAATTCTGTCTGTGTGTGATCATGGCCAAGTTTTCTTAGCCTTTACATTCCCACTTGTTTAATAAGAAATATCTTTTACCCTCTAGTAGGGTTGCTGTGAAATTTCAAGTGAAATAAATATATGTATGAATGCATATGTATATAAAGAGAATGTATGTGTGTATACTATATGCAACATTTTACTTCCTGTTGGGTGTATAATACCAAATTCCACCCCTCTACAAAGGTATACTTCCATAAGACTTTTTGAATGTTTATTGCTTTGGGATGAGGTCTTGCTGTGTTTTCGAGGGCTGGCCTGGAACTTGCCATGTAGCCCAAAGAAGCCTTGATTAACTTGCAGCATGTACATATGCATATATATATATATATATATATATAGAGAGAGAGAGAGAGAGAGAGAGAGAGAGAGAGAGAGAGAATGATCCCTCCCATATACTGCTGTGATTCCTAACATTATTAATGTACATATTACCCAAAAGGTGACAAGAAAGAGGCAGTCAGTATAAAATACTAGAAAGACCTAGAAGACTTTTGAAACAAAATGAAAGAAAAATCCTTGAATGCCAGACTATAAATTTGAGAAAAATTGATATAATTGGCAAAGAAGGTGGAGAAATAGAGGTGAACGAGATCAAGATTTAAATATATAAATATAATAAAGAGTCTGGGAGTGGGGAGAGAACAACAGAACCCTTGACTATTTGCAATCCAAATGAGAGTAAATCAGCACCACGGACAGCTCTTTGGCCACTGACCAGATGGGTGCTTTCTTTTTCTGACTGATGGAAATTTCTTTTTCTTGGGCAACAATTATGTTCTTCCCATTGGCTTCTGGCCTGAGTTGAGATCCTCATCAGTGGTTCTTGAAATGATTACAATTAAGAAATACATTCACCACCCACATGCTTTCTTTTTTATATTAGCATTGCGTTCAGATCTCCTATCTTTCATCAATTCTTTTTCTAGCTCTCTATCTACATCACACTGCTTCCTAATTGTTTGCCCCATTCTCTGTTTTCTCTGGAATCCCCAGTGGGGAGCAGCCTCCTTCAAAAATACCAGCAACAGTTGATGATGCAGTCCAGAAGTGAGTCCAAAACAATCTAGTCAGATGAAGACCATGATACAGAGGCATTCCTCTTCCTACCTCTTCCCTCATAATTAGTCTCTTATGACAGGATGCAGTCAAATAGGAGACTTAATAACATAAAATGTCTTTCAGTTTGTACCTATCATCCAGCACAGTCAATATTTCACTCAGAAGCATACAACCTTTTCTAGTTTCAAATGCGGTGACAGAGAGAGAGAGAGAGAGAGAAAGAGAAAGGGGGAAAATAGTTGATGTTTCACCAGGTACTGACATTCATTTAAAATATTTCCTTTATAAGTCTCCAAATGCTATGTAAAGAACAAAGGTCATAATTCAGTTGCTAGAGTGCTTTTCTCACATGCAAACTGATATGGTAGCCTGTGCCTAAAATACCAGTACTGGGAGTTGAAGACATAAAAATTAGAAGCTCAAAATCATTCTTAATTATAGTGACATTGAGGCCTGTATGAGGTCCATGACACACTGTCTCAAAAAAAAAATGATGAGTGATATGAATCAAATGAAATTACCCCCATTATTTTATATACAGGAGACTAAGCCCCTTGACACATGAATATCATACCTAGATTCATGCCACCATGATTTGATGAACCCCAGAATTCCACACTCATGTTTAACTTTAAATCATTTATTGTGTCTCCAGAAAACAATGGGGGAACTCTAGGGTGACTGGGAATCTTGGAATTTAATGGAACACTGCACACAACATGAATACAAACCTAAATACCTAGAATCCTACCTGATATGTGCCAATGTAGACTTTTGTAGAAGCTGCCCCTGGAGGAGGATGTGAAGACTTTACAGGACACATTTAATGCTCAAGAGAACCTCACTGGTTATGAGTTTTGGATAAAACCTCAACCTTCCTGGGGACTTGGCTCATTTGCATTTGGCTCTGTTTAGCTGCCCCATTTCTATGAGTCAAGGCTGAGAGAGCCATTTAAAATTGTCTCTAAAGAGCTCTTGGTCATCAGGAAAGTTCCTAGTGCAAAGCATTCCTAATGACTTATGGAGAAAGCAATCAGAACCATATGGATCACATATTTGCAGAAATACACGCTGGTGGGAAAAGGTTTAGAGGCCAAAAATATACTTCTTTTTTTTTTTTCTTTGCCAAAGAAAGAACATTTAAGGAAGCTTGAGATATGTGAGAAATGTCTTGTTCTTTCTTTGGGGTGGGTGTTGGTGAGCATCTGCTTGCTATTTCCACAGAATATACAAAAAAGTTTTCACAGGGGAGGAGTTTCCAACAAATTAAGGTAGACTTGAATGAGAACTTACTCTTTCTGGACCTTGAGGTGATCTTTGAAGTGATTCTTTTAAAAAGACTTTGATCAAGGACATTCACTCTGAAAGTGAGATTATATACCATCTCATTCCTCTTGTGATGGATAAGATAATGCATATAAATCTAAGCTTATTTTGAGATTGTCACAATTGGTACTGACTCTGTGTGTTGTAAGGAGAAAATACTGTTTATGAAAATGCCCTGAACTTTTGATAAGACTTTTCTAAATCATTTTTCATCTGTTGCATTCACAGATGTCTGTCCCTGAGTATGCTGGGTCCTTCTTTCCCACCTGTCCTCAATTGTAAGAGTCGCTTCACTGAAATGAAAAGAGAAAACACCAGGGAAACAAATAAGGAAAAATAGCTTTTGATTTGAGAAATACTAGGTGGTACAAATAAATTTTCAGGATAAAATAAATAACCTGCACTTTGGGAGCACATTCCTCATGGATGGATACTCCTTTAACCTAGAGACAGGAGGAACGGTCTACTCCAAATGACTTGACAGATTTAGAAGACCCCTCTAGGAAGGCATCCCCCTACATGTCGATTGGGGAAAGTGGAATGGGAGAGTGGTCAGAGAACATGTGAGGTTGGAAAAGAGGGAGGGAGGGACAGAGAGGGAACTGGGATCAATATGTAAAATAAGAAAAATAAATAAATAAATAAATAAATAAATAAATAAATAAATAAATAAATGAAAAAGAAAAAAATTTAAAAATGACCTGCTTCACTCACCTCAAATTATTACAAGATATTTGTGTATTTGTTCAGGACTTTGAGCCACTTGCTGCCACATCCAAGGTGTAAGTTCACCTTAGCTGTCCAACCTCAGAGGGGTTAAAAATTTCTCTTAATCTGGGTTGCCTTGGGTTCAAACTGGGCTGAACATCTGTAAGAAGAAGCCTGAATTTTTTGAGGAACTGCTGAAAGTGACATCATATGAAAGACTCAAAGATGACTGATTATCAGACTTCTGTCTTTCAGCTGTCTGAAGCCCTTTGGGGGCCAAACTTGGGCCACATGATCATATTGCATCAAGGGATATAGCTGTGATCTTCAGAAGCCTTAGAAAATTCTAGAAAAACTCATGGGGAAACTTTGTTTCTCTATCAAGTCTAGTGTATTGCAGGTCTGATGTAAAACAACAGCAAGATCTGGTTTCTATTATGTCTTAAAGCCATTGAGAGAGCAGAAACTAGTATTTATTAGCTTTATATATACTTATTTATTTTTGTGTGTGGAGGATATCCATGCCATACCGGTGTGTGTGTGTGTGTGTGTGTGTGTGTGTGTGTGTGTGTGTATGTGTGTGTGTGTGTTTGTACAATTTGTGGGGGGCAGTTTCTCTCCTTTCAACATGTATATTCATGATTGAACTCAACTATTTAAGGTCAGCAGCTGCAAGCATTTTGGCCCAAG